TTATTTTATTCTTCTTCTTTTATCTTTATATCTATTATATATTTCTTATTTTATTATTTATGTTATATTCTTATATCATTTTATTCTTATTTTATATTTATTCATTATTATTCATTTCATATTAACATTGATAAATAACAATACAACATATAATAAATAAATGATATAAGATAAACAACAATAAATAATAATAATAAAATATAAACAAACAATATAAACAAATATAAAATAATAAAATAACATCTAATATAAAATAATAATAACAAATAATGAAAAGAAGAAATGAAAGATGATTAGAAAAGAAAAAAAAATGAAAAAAAGAAGAAATAAAAGATGATATTCAAAGATAAAAATCAATATAAAATATAAAATATAATATAATAAATAATAAGAATAAGAATGATTATATCTTATTTTATTATTATATTCTTCTTCATATTCTCTTATTTTATTATTTTATATAATTATTATATTTAATTTATAATATCAATTTCATTTATAAATAATATATTTTTATTAAATATTATAATTTATTTATATTTAATGAATGATGAATTATTACTGATTATTCTTCATTTAATTCTCTTATTTTATTTTTGTTTATTTTGTTATTGATTTGTATTTATTTTATTTATTTATTTCATTTTATTTTTATTATTTTATTGCATTAAATTATCATCATTTGTATTTAATTTATAATTATTAAGTTTTATTCATGGTTATTGTTTGATTTATTATTTACAACTATTAGATTAATAAATCAAGCATTAACTAAATGAAGAACCATTTAATTTGAGAGTGATTGAAAAAAAACAATAATTGAATAGAACTAAAACATGTTGAATAAACTGATTCACTCATTTCTCAACATGATAAGAACCTAATCCCAGGTAAATCGTATTTGATTTCTTCTTGTTTATTCTTATTTTTCATTGTATTATCTTATATTCATTTCTATATTCCTTATTGTTAATTTTATTTCTATTTTCTTTTTATTTAATCTAATCATTTTCATATATTTTTATTTTAATATCTATAGTATTTGATGTTGAAATTGATATATGATATTGAAAGTGATATATTTTTTTATATATTTCATTTTTTTTTTAGTGTATACACATATCAGATTTTATTTATTATTTAAATATAACATACTTTTATATTTATATAACTTTTACCATTTTTATTTGATATAACACCGTTACGTTGATAAGATGATACTCTTGATTTAATTTGTTTTTATTCTATTTTATAAAAATATTTTATTTTTTGTTTGAATAACAAAATAAAAATAAGATAAAGAATTGATTGAATTTATTGATAAAATATAATTTCAATGAATATACCATATCATAAATGTTATGTTCAATAACAAAACATATCGAGACTATGATATTAATGATATGTTAATATTTTAAGACAATTAGTGAAGATATTTCTTATATTTTTAGATGAACAAGTGATTTCTCTTCTTTCTAATGTTAATTACTTATTTAAAAGAATAAACAGTGATTTACACAACTTATTTCTTTATCTGACAAAATATTTTGCATCAATAAAACATTGTTAATTATTTTTGCACCATTAGTTCAGAAGCTTTTTATTGTACATTTCTAATTTCTGCAATAAAAAATGCCTCCTTTATTTCATCTTTCTTTTCCTCTTTTATTATCTCTTTTCGATATACTCCTTTTTATCTTCTTTCTTTTTATATCCACAAGTTTCTACTTTTATTCTTTTCATCTTCCTCTACTTCACAGTTTTTCTTTTATATCCTTCTTTCTCT